TATTGTATTATACAACTTTCGGTTAAAATATTATTAAGTATTGTTACAGTTTCAATTATACGAGTATGTTTGCCAATCAAAACAACCGTGTTCAACAATACGTCCGCGAAATATTATAATTTTCGACCGGTAAAAGAAATGTTATGTATTATTCATATTAAAACTACACCATACGCTATCGTCTGCTATGGACGGCATACAGTTAACGTTGTTTTATTATTTTCGATAGAAGTACTGCTTCCTCACATGAATTAATTTACTCTTGATGTCGTATAACTCGCATAATAAAATCAATACATAATCGGTAGCGTATTTATAGGCACGTGCCTATATCGGCAAACTCGAAGATTGTATTTTAATATTAATTATAAATAAAAATTGTATAAATCTTAATAAATCACGTTTTAGAATTTAAATAAAATTTGTTCTGCATACTGTCCAATTAATATATAAATTTTATTGCCAATAATTAAACGATAATTCAGTTAGTACGATATATTATTTTAGTTATTAAGTGCGGAAAATTTCCACAGGCCTACACGTGGGAAACATGTATACACTCTCTATAATACGGTATAATTAAACTAAAATAATTCGTACTTAAAGATATAAAATATAACAGGGGTGGGCAACTGGCGGCCCGCGTACCGCATCCGGCCCGTGAACCTTTTTTATCTGGCCCGTAATATATTTTAAAATTACATCATACAATTTTAAAGTTTATCGTCTATGCTCTAACTTATCAATGTAATAATTGTTATCTAGTATTAAACATCGTTAAATGTCTAAATGTTATAAGTATGTATAAGTATGACTTTCAACCATAGCTGTTACCAAACTATTTAACTATATCAGTTTCTTCGTACCATTCGGATTATGCTATCGTGTGTGTTGAATTTATTATTTCCATATATATAAATTCTAATTAAAATTCATATTTTGAATAACCTATTATTTTTTTTTTCTATGCTTTGGCCCGCTATATTTAAATTTTCTAAAAATTGGCCCTCTAGTAACTTCGAGTTACCCATCCCTGAAATATAATAACAATAAAAATAATTAAAATAATCAATACAACAGACATAATCGTAATTTTGGTAAATTTTTCAAATTGATAATACATCTAAATAATTCATTTCAGTAATAAATATTACCTTTTAAATTTCGGAGAAAAAATGTGTTTCGTCATTTAAATAAATATTTGAATGCCAAACAAATTCGCCAATAGAAATCTTTGAGTCAATAGTAGATCTTTCATTGATGTACTTACAAGCCCTACACATCACGCATATTCAATGATGATTATAATAAGTCTATATAAAATATAGAAATAATATTAATAATAAGTAATACATTTACCTAATAAAATATATCAAATAGAATTTAATACTTTGTCGTCTGACACAAATACGAACGCATAACCACGTATTGTAAAATAATAAGTCCCAGACTATAACAATAGTATACCGCAATGTTTCTTGATAATATTTCTAGTGAACTATTTCTCATTTCCTACTTTATGGTCATTATCACTCGTATTATAACACCATATTATAACAGTTAGATTGCTAGTTATTGTAACCAAGTTCGATTGCGCGTATACCATAACATTTCTGCGATTGTGTTTGTACAATAAATTTCAAAAACTGATTTATGTACAAAGGTCTTGAAAAAATCGTTCTGTATTATATTATACTTTAATTTTAAATTAACATGTCATTCATCGTCTATTATAATACATTCATACCGGTTTTTTTTAGATCATTTTGGTTGTTCCATAATTTAAATTTACAAAACTTCTAGTAATTATTATTATTATTCTCTTTCTTCGGCATTCTCCTAGAACCATAATATTATATTTTAATGACAATAATTACTATACACATACTACATCCTTTAGGTTGCATTTTTTATTAGTTTTTGGATTTTTTTTTTATTTCCAAAAAAAATATTTTTTCATCGTTAAACCATTAAATAATTAAAAATGGTAATAGCATCGATATAATTGCAAAAATATCAATTTTTTAAGCTATAATATTTTATAAGTCTTTAAAGTATATTGTAATCGAAATAGTGATTTTTTATTTTTAATAAACTTAGTCCAATAAAAGAAGTATCCTCAAAATAGAGCGTATTTTTATAAATATTTCCTAATATAAAATACATCTTGTGTTTTTGAAGAAATCACCAGTATCACCTTGTCATTTTAGAAATTATTTTAATCAAATTGAATATTACAACTACTTAACTAATAACGTGTATTGAATATATAATCATATCTGTGTCATAATGCTATGTCAACGTTGATTTCATTTAATGATCACGTAGGAACGCGACTTTTATAATAACAATAACTAATTCAGCTTATGCGATTGCATCTAAACCTAATAGGATGTAGAATAATGTTATGTAACGTTAAAAAATGAATTATCTAATAAATATTATCGTTGGTTTATTTAATACTTAATTATGACTGAATACGAAACACGTGCAGAATACTAATATATTTCAGATAATTATCCAATTACTGAATTTGATTCAGAATTATTTTATTTATATAAACAATTTTCATATTTTTGCAAACAATAAATAACAGTTAATAACCATTCAAATAATTATTTAAAATGTATATTTTTTGACGATAAAATATAATATTTGATATTTTTTTTCAAATATTTCTTCAGTTTACGTTTGTATTATTTATATATATATACAAAGGTGGGCATTAACTAGTTAAAAAGCTAAAGTTAAGTTGAAAAGTTATTTTTTTTAAACTTTATAACTTAACTAGTTAGTTTATTTTCTAATAAACTTTTTAACTTAATTAGATTAACTGGCATTTGAAATAACTTAGTTTTTTACAGTTGATTTAAAAGGGATCTATCAAGTTAAAATTTTTTTAAGTTTTTCATTTATACGTAAATATTAATACAAAAAATTAAATAATCATGTTAAGTAAAATGGTCGTATACACTGTAAATCATATGTCATATAAGATTTTGTAGGTTGGGGGCTCATTTTTAGGTATTGGGTTCTGGATACAAAATGTTATGTATAAATAATTTTAACTATAAAGATAAATAAATATGGAAGTGAGTCGCCCCTTGATGTACATTGTACAATGTCAAAGTATTTTTCAAACACTTCAGCGCCACTGCTGTATATTATGATAACAAATTCAATATAATTGTTTATTATAATTTAGGAAATAAATCTTTCTGTAGAACGATGTTACTTTTTATGCGATCTACTTACTAATTAAAAAAGTAGATTAACTTTTTTTAAACTGAGTTAAGTTAATATTTTTTTTCTTATTAACTTATAACTTATTGACTTAAATTTATGAATTGTTAACTGTTAATTTTTAACTTATTGATCTTGTGTTCTCTTAACTTAACTCGAGTTAATTATTTTCATTAACTTGCCTACCTTTGTATATATATTTATATATATAACTCAAATTTCATTTACTCATTGAACGCTACATTTCAAAATAACAAAACTCAATGAAGTCGATGTATATCTAAATATGAAATATGAAAAGATTTTCAAAAATCACATTTTTAAGGTTCACCGAAACAATTTAAAGTAAGATGAATAATTTTTTTTATCAATTTTAAGTTACATAGGAAATATTTTATTTTCATTAAAACATTAATTTTAATACCTAATTATCAATTAATTATGCAAATTAATATACCATAAGTAAATAAAAATAAATATCATTGGAATATAAGATTATTGTGCTTTTTTTCAACCTATGATTTCTTAGGTTTAGGATTATTAATTCCTTTAATATAAAACCGTAAAATATCTCTTGGATGAGTTCGATCAATTCTGGTAACTTGTACGTATTGAAAGTGAAAATATTAAATTATTTTTTTATTTCGTAGGTATCTGTTCAGGCCCGTAGCCACGGGGGGGGGCGTTGCCCCCCCCTAAACCCAGTCATTGCCCCCCCTAAAAATATTAGAAAGATGTTTAGGTAGTTACGTATTTTATTGCTTATAACATTTTCATCGGTAATAGAATAGATCAAAAAAGTTTTTTTAGCCGTATAGTAGTATTTATTTCGGAAATTCCGGGCCATGACGACGATACTGACGTGTCACGACGACTGTTGGCAAATTGATTGCTAACGTTATCGTAATCGTAGCGCAATACTTTCCTATCAATTGACATTTTATTATAGAACACCTAAATATTCTTTCATTTTATCGCCGACTGCAGCAGTACACGTGTGTAAAATATGTTTCATTGTTAATTTATTTTGTAATTCATTGTGTTAATTTAATTAGATGTCAATGTAAATAAATTAAAAATTGCATTAATATTTAATACATTTATATATAATGCCCCCCCAAAAATTTGCTTTGCCCCTCCTGAAAATTTGGTCTGGCTACGGGCCTGTATCTGTTACTCTAGTTCAAATTAAAAAAAAATCGATGATTTGTAAACAAAAATTATCCGTTAACAGTAGGCTAAGCTTTTTAAGGTATTATTAAATATCCATATATGAATAAACGGATATAATTCGAACAACATTTGAAAAACGGTTATTAAAATGAAATTCTGAGATGATGATTATTATTGGCCAATCGATGGAAATGCGCGTATTGTTGAGAAATATTTTTGTTAACGAACACTATTTCTGATGTTTCCGAAATAACACGGGGTTAAACTTTGAATATATTAATTTTTCAAAAAAAAAAAAAAAACCCTTAATTTTTGTTAACTATTAGTGTTAACAATAGTGCAGCAATGATAAATAACACTATTGTATGACGTAACGTCATAAAAAAAAAAGAGAGAGAATAATAAAAATAATAGTATTACGAACAATGACGACACCCAAAGTTAAAGGAAGATATTGGTATTCCTCGTGATACAGTGACTAGTATTGTGCGTATGTCTAACAAGATATATAGGTTAATTTGATGTATATTATTAATAACGCAATAAACGACTTGTAATAAATGAGTGTTGTTTTTTTTTTCCAGGGATATGTTACTTAACCGTAAAAGCTGGTGTTGCAGTTCGTCAGACTGAAAACGGTTACTCACAAGGTAAATCCCAAATGATTCATCGATACACACACACACACACACACACACACACACACACACACCATACATATCACAATAGATAAATACCCATAATAATACTAATAATAATAATAATAATAATAATAATAATAATAACAGTAATAATAATCATAATAATACAGTGTTGATGAGTGTGTCATTATCCGATGCATCCGCATTTAGGTCATTATCACCCTGACGTACGGTAATTTAAAAAAAAAAAAAAAAACCGATTGCGTAACGCGTTGACCTCTAACACTTTCTCTCTAAACGCGTAAATATACACACAAACAACGTGGGAGAAAAACTTATGAGATGTAGAATTTTTATTTTTATTTTCCTTCCTCCGCACATAGCCATGTAACACGTACCTGAAGCGGATTGTCCCCGTGTACGCGTCGATTTTTTTCATACCGAGACAGTCTCGGATATGCAAGTTACGCAACAGGTGGCGCACGAACGCATGTGACGAAATTGCGTAACGGCGTGCACACGCGCGTTGGGAGCGAGAGAAAAGTAAAAAGCGAACACGTGTGAGAGGAAAAACAATTATGTTGATTTCGGCGTTCGTATAATATTACACACATGCAGGAACCGCGTTTCCGATTTTTACGTCGTCGTACTTTCTCCGCGCCCGCAAGTGTACCTATAGGTAACACTGTGCACGTATTATGTCCCATAGCAATATTTAGTCTTGTGGATGAGAATTTTTTTCTTTTTCTCATCAATTTTACTTGCATTTCTTGAACCCGTGTGGTTACTGCGATTCATTTCAACCCCGTCGTCGTCGTTACTACGATGCTCTGTTTTTAAATCGACTTTCCGGGGATCGAACTGGGAATTCGAATTTAAGATGGTCGACGAGAGTTCGAAATATCGAAGGAAAGAGAGAAATAATTCTAATTGAAAAGCGTTGAATATTTTTAGCATATGCTTACCGTTTATACATTTAGTTAATCGTTGATGGTACGTGGAAATGCTTAGGACAACATTTTTTTTTCATCGACTTCGACTGCCATGATAATTTTTTTTTTTTTTACATCGAGGAGCCACAATAACCCATGACTACTTATACTTTGCCACACCAATTTTTTAGATCGAATACGTTTTATTCGATTACGACAACTGTTTGCTTATCGTTGCTGAGACTGCATTGATGACGAATGATAAATTATACCCCTAGATTAATTACAGCAGTTAGGGAAATAATAAAATAAGCTTATGATCACATAAACCAAACGATAATATACTCTCGCCGTTGTTATTTTTCGATGCTAAAATTACATATTATGTTGTTATTTAACACACGAGCACGTAAGTTGAACCACATTGATACTTCTAATAATATTTTTTTGAGCTCGTGTTAAATCAATAAATTCGAATTGTAGTCTCATAATTTTCATTACTCTCGATTTATCGAGGTAAACAAAATACTAGTGTATTCTTCGAATCGTATGGGTTTTCTTGCGGGACCAAGCGTTTGGTTCGATATATAGAATGATATCGAATGATCCAGATTCTCAATGTTAGTGAATATCTCGACACACGGACGATTAGTATCATATAAACAGTACGATAAAGCACCCGGATACCGTTTGGTAAAATGGAAAGTACGTGAACGAGCGTGGGCGGCTTAATATATTTCCTTTAAAAATGCATTTCGATTTACATACAGTCCGTCGTCGGCCAGTGAAATACAATATTATTGTCGTATTACACACTGCGTGTGCGTGTGCGCGCGCGACTTGTGGTACCTACGTTCGAAATATTATGGTTACAAGTCCACTGTTCGCGTTCAATAGTTTGCTACAGTCAGTCGTGCACAATTTTCACTTTGACCAACCTATACGAATACGATTTCCTATCGCAGAGTTCAGTTTTATTACTGTACAGTATAAACGTAGGTTTAATAACTCGACATTTTTAACCTACACGTATTCATTTGTATTTTTGATTATTTTAAATTACAGTCGTTGAACTAGAAAGTGACTTCATATACTATATTGTATATACATATTATTTTACGTATATGCTGAATTTCGTGCGACAATGATAATAGTATTAATATATGCAGCAGATGCGACATGAAAATGAACTCAACATCACTACACGACGTTCAGGCCGCATTATTCTAAATACCAGCAATTATAGTGCGGCACGGAGCACAATCATAGTTGTACGTTTTTTTCACTTTCAAAATACTCTGAAAGTACTTGCTACTACGGATAATGGTTGAAAATTTCTTGAAAACATAGTTTTTGAGGGTATTATGTTAAATGTTGTTAAATTTTTCAATTCGTTATATAAAGTTAACGTGTTGAACTGCTGACAACAATAATTATGACTATGACTGTTTATTTATGTTGTAGTTTTCTGTTTCGGTTCAACATTTGTCGCAGTCGTAATGATTTTTATATAATAAAACTGTTTTTTCCTTCATAAGAACGCAATTTTTGCGCGTTTGCAATGAATCATTGGTTTTGAAATATTTAAAATAATAGTAACAATAAACCTTTTTATTAAACACTTTCTAACTACATTATACTAATGTTTCGAAAGAATGATTAACCACTAAGCGTATATATTTTTATCGGATCGCGTTGAGAGCGCACTTCTCGAAAACAATTAGGATTATACGGATAGAATAGGATACAAATTAATACTACGATCGTTTCTATATAAATTTACCACACTCATGTCGAGTCAAACTGTGTCATGATGAATGTTAACATGTTACGCATTCTATTTATGAGAGCAAACAGTAGCAATGAATGATCACCTGATGGAATGCATTTGAATAAATGATTTATTGACAACATTATAAGATACACGTACGAATATAGAATTTTTTTTTATATCATCAATCATTATAATATTAATTATCCTGAGACAATATTCAAATATTTTTGAAGAAAATATTATTGTGTTTTGTACATATATTATGTTATAATTGATTTTTTTGAGTTAAAATATAATATTTTGTATGAGAAAACATACTTTTTCCACCTACGTTGTTAAATAATGCGTTTAAAATGTTGTGTAAGTGATTTTAACGGATATTTGGTTTTTATGTCGTGTCGTAAGTAAATTTACACTCCTAAATATTACATAGATGTAATACCATGAACATTGAAATAGGTATTAGTCGGTTTAATGATTTTATTATTTTTAATGCAGCGATTTGTGAGAACATAATGTAACTGACTGTACTAATTAGTGTGGGTCGTTGTTGCTTTTTTTTTTTTTTAGAAAGAAAACGTACTACCACGCCTCAGATGCGACCAAACAAGTGAAAGTTTTTCAGGTGTAAATATTATTTCCGAGCTATATTATTCCAGTCGTACAAAATATAGTAATCTAAATATTATTTTAACCTATTCTTGAGAACAAATTTAAATCATTGCAATATTTCTCTATAATCCGCTATTTATATATTATATATTGAACATTTAATATTCTATTTTATTATAACTATAATTTTTTTTTTATTTACATTCAGGTACAAAAACATTTTGATATAATTGCATACGAACATAATATATCTGGTTGACTAAACAATGATGAAATCACATTAATATCATTTAATTTTACTGATTCCCGTATTCTTTTATACGATGTGATGCGATGTGATGCAAGTTAGAGATTATTATTTTGTACGTTATCGAAGTATCTTACTTATAATTCAAATTCTCATAAATCAATGTCAAGACGTTCCATCTCTGGATGGATTCTTCATTCAAGTCATCAGTCCCTTTTTATTTTATTTTATTTATTCTATTTCTACCTGTACAGCACTTATACTTATTGTGAAAATAATATATTTACAGACTGTATAATAAAAATAATAAAAAATAAAATAAAAAATTCTCATAAATATTATATTAATAGTAATACTAAAACATTATGAAAATATTTAACTGTTTTTTGAAAACAAGTTGTAATAAAAGTAGCTGAGAAAAATATGACAAAATATGATATTTATAAACTTTAACCTTAGCGTTCTGATCGATGTAAAAGATACGTTTAAGATTACGCAAATAATAATATGAAAGTTTATTTTATCATTGACATGATAAATATAATATAATGTATATGTACTTCAATTAAAATCGTTTTCCCTGACTATTAGGATACATTATTATGAGCACCCATATTATAGAAGTGAAATCAGAATTATTGCACCTGATAAGGAAGAAGGAGTACGTATATTATTATGTGCTTAAAAATCCTTTACCGTACCCTAAGTACGGTTTCTCGAGTGTAGATAATGAAATATATTACATAGATTAATTTCGCGATAAAACGCAAATATACAGAAAACTTTTGTTTACGACCGTTTTCTTATTTCATCCGCCGATCTAATGTCCTCACGGTTTAAACAAACACATATTTTCCTTATCGGCCATCGCAATTATCAAAACATGAAAGATGTATTATTATTATTATCTTGCAGACATACGTACGAGTATTGTACTGCTTGGACGGATAATAGTCGAGAATAGGAACAAAAAAACGAAATGGAAAAAAATAAATGTCCACAAAACCGTCCACGCGGAGAACTCTGATTAGCATTGGCGTGCGTTGTCCCGGTCTTGCTAATTTACATGTCAACATCGAACTAGGCCGACTACGATATCTTATCTACGATTGAATATACGCACACCGCACCGTCGATTTCCATCTAATTTTTCTATTCTCCATCGGTTTTGCGGTTACAACGACCGCCGCACTCCATAGGACGTCTGAAATCGTCTAATGTGCCCGTGTTGTATATACACGCCTGCGCACGTGTGTGTGTGTGTGTATGTGTGGGCGGGAGGGGGACGAAAACAGAGATAACTTTCTACGCGTGTCAAACGTAAAATGCTCGGTCGCTTGAATTATTTATTTTTATTTATAGTTATTATTATCTATTTTATTCTTGTTCTACCTCACATACACAATATTATCATCCGAATTTACAGCCGAAGTGAACACGAATC